ATTATTCATAGAATGCTGTAGTGTCAGTAATCGGGTTGCACAGTACTATTCACAATAGCGAATTCGGTCGCTTGCACTACACTAGATCAGTGCATACTAAAAGCTTTACGTGAAATTAACAAAGTTAAATGTAAAAGTATATAAATATTCTAAACGATTTCAACATTTGCAACTGACGTGCGACGATAGCGAAATGAGAAAAATAGACATTCACGCAGAGCTTGAGAAGGACAACAGGCGCGACGCGTGTCCTGTCATTCTGTCAACAATCGAAGCAGCGACGACAGTGAAGTCTACGAAGAGGAGTTCGCAGTGAAGTTGTAATGCAGTGTGGTGTAGTGTGTAAGAAAAATAGTTATAAATGTTTAATAATGCAAACTCATCAAGAAAAGAAACTTCCCGCATCTTTCTACAGACTTTCGAAGAAAAAAGCATATGTAAAGAGGTTCGAACATATAATGCATTTCTAATTGCTTAATTTATATTTAAAATGAAAAATGAGTAAATGTTAAGAAGACTCCACCTCAAATTTTTATGAAAATACACTCAATCGATGCGTAAAAATCAAGCTATATCAAGAAAGAAGCGTCATTCTAATCTATGAACAGAGATATTAATTGTTAAAGTGGAGGATCGTTCAGGTTAGGAAATCTGTCACAGCAGTGGTTCACTGCTATAAAAACCCAAATTCACTGCTTTAGCAAAGAATTTGTTGTTAATGAAGAGAACTTTTTTTTAAAGCAGTGAATATGTGTTTTTAAAGCAATGAACCACTACTGTGACACGTTTCCTAACCTGAATAGTCATCGAATTTAACGATTAAGATCATGGGGCAGAGCAACGTTTTTTCTTATCAAATCTTTACTTTTACACGAAAACACATCGATTGAGTGTATTTTTATCAAAATTTGTGGTGGCCAGGATGTTCTTTACATTAACCCAAAAATGCTTTGTGGACATGATATCTTTATTAAATAAAACGGAAAATTAAAGGGCATACACCACAAACGCAAGATGTTGGTAGCTAATATTTTATATTTCAAATAACAATTAAATAAACATTACGGCCTTAAATTAGGCCATCTTCTCTCATCATCTCATCATGATAGACGACCTTATATACAAAATCTGTAGAGAAGATCAAGGAGAGGTTCAATCTGGAGTTATGTGGGGGAAGTTATATTGAGAGTAAAGGAAAGTATGACTTGTAATCATTCAGTATCACTCTGTTCAATCCATCACAATTTGTTTTTTAATAAAAATATCTCTTCAGATGTGAATTTTTTGAGATCCACATCTGAAATGATGTTCATTAAAAAACAAATTGATGAATTAAACAAACAGGGTGATACTGAACGATTACTAGAGTCATACTTTTATTTACTCAATATAACTTTCCCCACCTAAATCCAGATTGAATCTCTCCATGATCTACTCTACAGATTTTGTATATAAGGTTGTCTATCATGATGACAGTTAACAGAACATCTTATAAGTAGTTTCTTACAACAAATCATCATATCTCGATATTATTGTACATAATTTGTTGGAAACACACAGGTACTATATTTATTATATAACTTGACTCATGAATTATTGTAATTTATTTAAAAACATTCATGCTACAATTTGGAAATTTTGTGTACAATTTACTATTAATGACGAACGTTTGGACTATCGGATTGATTATAATAATAGACATTCATTCCTCTGGATCATATAACTGGACACTTTTGTCTATCATCAGTATTTATTAGGGGAACTCACTTTTAATCATAGATAATAAATTTGTAACAAAAACGTTTCCTGCGTAATTAATAAGTTA